CCGCATGTTACATCTGTGGAGGACGGTTGGACAGTAATAAAGGAAGGATTGGCTTCGCTTTGTTCTCAGTTTGTGCCGTTGAAATTTCAGAAAGTCGGACCAATCAAACCACACTGGTTCGACAAGGAATATGGTAGGCTGGCTCGGTTACGGCGAAGAATGTGGGACGCATTTCGCCTCTCTGGCTCCGCCACTGATTACGAAGCATATAAAAGACAGCGAAATATTTGCAACAAAGTGAAATTGATAAAGCGCCGGAAGTTCGAAGAAAAGCTTGCAACTGACGCGAGGATGGCCCCAAAGAAGATCTTTGCTTACGTGAAACGCCGTTTGAAGCCAAAAGGTGACGTGTCATGTCTGGAAGACGCGGACGGACACCTGCTAACTTCCAGTTCCGATCGCGCGTCCGCACTGGCCGCTCACTTCGCTTCCGTGTTTGCAAACGACGCGGCGTCCATACCCATCTCAGCGAGTAACATTCCTGTAGAACTCAACAGTTTGGTTTGTGATGTCGACGAGGTGCGCCTGCTACTTGCGAACCTTGACGGTACCAAGCCTGCAGGGCCTGACGGGCTTCATCCGCTAATTATCAAATCACTAGCTGCCATTATCTCGCCTGCTGTTACGGATCTATTCAACAAATCATTGTCTGAGGGCTCATTGCCAAACGACTGGAAGCGCTCGGTGGTGAGGCCGATCCCGAAAGGTGGCGACCCCAGTAAGGTGGATAACTACAGGCCAATTTGTCTTACACCCGTTTTGGCCAAAGTGATCGAGAAGATAGTAAAAAAGCGTCTAATACATCTGTTGCAATCGAAAGAACTTCTGACACCGGCACAACACGGATTCAGGATGGGATATTCTTGTGTTACAAACTTACTTGTGACGAGACAGGAATGGTTGCAAGCACTGAACCGGGGAAAGTCCGTCGACGTAATCTACATCGACTTCAGCAAAGCATTCGACAAAGTCAATCATGAATTGCTTCTAGACAGATTAAGGTCGTGTGGTGTCGGAGGATCGTTACATCGATGGATCCATGAATTTCTCGTTGGAAGAAAGTGGAGGGTACAGGTGGACGGCCATCTAACCGATTGGTATCCCTCGACCAGTGGTGTACCTCAAGGTACGGTACTGGGACCTACTCTGTTTCTCATCCATATCAACGAGCTGCCCCAGCTTCTACGGTCGCCGTGTGCACTGTTTGCGGATGACCTCAAAATTTGGCGAGAAATTAATACTCTCGATGACTGTGACATTCTCCAACAAGACCTCGACCGCCTCGCAGTATGGTCTGCTGAAGTCCACCTACCGGTCAACCCGGCAAAGTCCCTATTCATGAATCTCGGGAAGGCTGTTCACGGACGAACGTACACCCTAGACGGCCAACCACTGCATCCCACACCTTCCGTGAAAGACCTAGGTGTACTCTCACGCTGCGACTTGAAGTCCGTCGACAACACCAACAAACTGTATCGAAACGGACTGCGCATGCTCTGGGCGCTGAAACGCAGCTTCTGCACTTGGTCTGAGGACGTCGCCACTCGCCTCTTCTCTTCCATCGTCAGACCAATGGTAGAGTACGGCTCGCCTGCATACTGTCCGATCACTCGCGGCGAAGCGCAAAAGATCGAACGAGTACAACACATCGCCACCAAGTTGATCCCCAGCTTGAGAGGCTTATCGTATGAAAACCGGTGCATGAAACTTGGGCTCTACACCTTGTCATATCGCCGTGTTCGAGTGGATCTTATCATGACCTACCGTATTTTACATCTCGGTCATTTCCCCATGCTAAGGTCGTTACTCCACTTGCGAGTACCATGCACCACACGTGGGCACAGGTACAAACTCGTGGTACCTGATCTGAAGAAAATCCCACACCCCCTGTGTTTCGAGCGGAGGGTTGTGCACGCCTGGAACAGTCTGCCAGAACACGTCGTCGAGGCCGAATCTGTGCAGAAATTCAAATCTTTGTTGGATTTACACTTCGCTAACATACGTTTCAGAGAACGGTTGCCACTTGACAACGATATCACCCACTTGTGACTCACTGTGTAAACAAGCATTTTGTGTGCTACAGAAGGAGTTGCTGAACCATCTCAGGATAACCACCGGACGTGTTTATTTTTTTAAAATGTTTTTGATTATCACCCGATGGAGTTGTACAGAATTATTTTCTACTTGCTCCAAAATACAGTATTCAGTATTCAGCGTTCTCTTCGAATCTATAGCCCTCGTTTCCTAACTACCGATTTCACTGCGATATATCGGACGAAAATTGGACATTCAGATAGATTTGCATAATCTACTCATGCTGGTAGCCATCTACTCGCAAACGCTTTTGTTATACGTTGTTGTATAATTATGATAGTTCAGGCAGCATTTGGTATAGTTGATAACAGTGTCAACTGTTCTTTGATTTCGACACCGATTTCAATCCGGAAGCGGATGGAAATAGGATAGATGAACATCCGATGGTGGCACCAGTAATGGAAATAAATTATGTAGGATGCGGACTCCTTGTATGGCACGAGTGATCAAAGTGTTCACTGGAGCTAATTGAGTAACCAATTTTTGTGCCCCTAGCAGTCTCAATCGGACACCTTTGGATGACACAGAACGCTTTTTCCCAATACATCCATACCATACACTGTGAATGCATTTTTTGCTGATTTCAAATACCGTCAACATTAAGCGGAAGTTGATACCCAATTTGCTGATACGCAATAGTATAACCACTAGGCTAAACTAAACCTGTTTTGAGTGACCAAAATTCATCCCAATTGGATACAGTTTGGACTTTTTTAACAGACCCTTACATTATACTATGAATGTAGTATTCTCGGTTGCAAACATCGTCAACAGTACGCAGTACTATAGCCGTTAGAATAAACCGAAAATGTTCTTTTGGTAACCAAGTCGTTCAAAAGGTGTCCAATTGGGAGAGCCAGGGACACAAAACTTGGTCACTCAGGGCGCTTAAACGGTCACTCGAACTGGCTGAAATTGCAAGTACACTAAATAGCAGTATTTTAGGCAAAGACTAGCAGCGCTGAAGATAAGCTTATTTAACAACATATATAGATATATCATGCCATTTATTTGTACCTTTACTTTTTGCCTGTGCGAGTGACCAAAAGGCATGCTCAAACCGGACGGCTGGCCGTACATCTGTGCGGACAATCATAATCATCCTAACCCGCATGTCATGTGTGATTGATTGACTGACTTGATGCCCATGGCCGACAAGGCGAGACATTTTGTATGAGTGACCGATAGACTGGTGCAGAATTACCACTTCATGTGCCACCGGCCGTCACAGTAAGATATATTGGGAAATTACATCGATCACTCAAAGAACTACTCCATGTAGCTCTACATATTCAATACTCTGCTCCTACGATTTGGGAACAGACTTCCGCTGTGTACGAATGGTGTCTGCAACGAAACCATGCATTCACGGCAGATGGCAAAGTAGCACAAGAAAGATGTCTCCTGAGCAACCGGAAGCCGCCTCTGGGAAGGCCAGAAGCATAAAAGCAGTGAATAAAGGGCCCATACGGTCATTCCAGTGGTCATCTTTCGTTCACTTGTATCACACGGAAAATCTCTGAAGCATAAAAGCACGTATAAAACTATGGTTACAGGTTCCTAGCCTCGATGATACCGACAGGTTACAGACAAAGGTTGACAATCTTAATGATTGGTCCATTACCTGGGGTTCGCCTGTTAACCATGACATGTGTTACGTCTTCCCAATCGGTGCCCCAGAACCCCTCGGCACACCATGTTGGCGGTTGTCTGCTCATAAACGCCGCTCTAGCGAAGGACCTAAGCACTATTGTCTTCCGATCTTAAGACAACCCAGGATACTTTGAGGGGTCGGTGTAGCCAACAGGATACTTTGTGCTATAAGAGGAAAATTCGACTGCCCCGAAGATCATCAGGCTCCTATTTGTCTGGCATGTGAAGTCTATTCTTGAGTATGGCTTTCCGGCTGCTTACCCACTCACGAAGCTTGAAAAAACATAGAGGAATAGCTTCAAATTGTTCTCGACGTTACGTGATATGTCTTACTCTGCTCGTCTACAATAGATGAGTCAGTTTTCCTTGGATAATCGCCGTTGTCGGAGAGAGCTGATTTACACTAGGCGTATTAGGGGAGAATTGGGGACCGAGCTGCAAAACTTCTTCCGGTTGAACTCTGTAAGCTCGACACGGGGACATAATTGCAAGTTGTTTAAGCCGAGGAGTCTCCGTGTCCGTCCGGAAGTCACTTTATCCACTCGGGTGGTGAATGAGTGGAACTGTGTCGGAGCCTGTTGTCAACGCGTCCAGTGAGGAGAGTTTCAAGGTTGTTGGACATCCACTTGCTGCGTATGTCGGGATCGTGTTGCCTTCGTTGCACCTGGAACGGACCATTGTGAATGCTGTCCCTACTCAGACCGAGATGTGATGAAGCTTACAAGGCTTCCCTCTTCTGCTTTCTACAATTCAGTGGTTTAATGGTGTGAAGCTCGTGCGACTGCTGTAAGTGTATACGGACTGAGCTTAACTGAAGACTCAGGTAAGTCATCATTAATTTAACCACAAAATACATTTACACAATCGGTCGAAAGTATTTTGTAGTTCGACGTCAATTTATGGTCAAATCAACGTTTAAAAGTAATGGGAGGTCAATAAATCCAGTGTTAAAACATTTGAAGAGCAGAAGTGTTTATAAACACTATAGTGCACTATAGTGCACGCACCGATGAATGGTGAGTGCACAAATGCTAATGGAATTCACCAAGGAAAAACCTACTCTATGTAACCTAGAGCAAGACACTAGGATAATTTTCAAGCGAATGAAGCAAAAACGAATATACTAGTTGGTTTTGGTTAACGTCAATATTAAAGGAACTAAATTATTATACGAGGAAAAATGATCGGGAAGAGGCAGAAGCTCATCACTTAAGCAGACAACAGAGTCATAGGAGCCAGTAATTTGAACTTACCATGGAATGGATTATGGAAACCAACTGGGATACGATAACGACCAACCATTCCGTTGGGTCGTGTTAAGCCGATCGAAGGACGATTATTCTCAAGGCCGAAAAGAGCGCTTTGGTACATCGAAGCAGGAACTATTTTTATGACATTTTCGTACTGCAAACTTTACTACGTTTGCATATACATTCCAGCTTGCAACTGCGCTGGGTGTACCTAGGATTCATTTTTATATACGCAATGTATCAAACTTTAGACACAGTTGGGCGACGGACGTTGGATTTTAGTCTGCCTTATGTTGATCACATAAATGAAGACAAATAAAAACGAGTGGTGTGTAACGTTAATGAATATACAATTTAAAAGGTCGCTACAAACTACCAGGAAAGGAATTTATTGCTTCAAGTTCAAGTTCAAGTGGGACTGGTAAGATAGGATGAATCCCGTGTTAATTCTTGAGCAGGTCGTTGATGCAGGAGTGCAAGTTCAAGTTCAAATCCAGTTGGAACCGGAACGATAGCGTAATTCCGTGAATGTTCCTTCTTTTGCGTATCGTCGGATCGGGAATTAATAGATCATATTGAGATTTTAACAAGCCTAAACAGAGACCGCAGCACATACTGTCTAACCAATTACCGTCCACATTTTCCTGCCCAGCATTCCCTGTCAGGCCGAGTTATGTGAACTGAAAGCGTGATGATAAGCTTAGAGGCAACGGGAGGCATGTCAGCTAAATAATGATAATATCAAGGCCTGCGAAGAACTTAAAAACAACGGGCAAGTTGAAGATACAATTCGGTTATGAGAAGTGGAAGTTTTGGTACTGCCACACAAGTGCTTCTAACTGAAACTCGAAACCCGCAACCATAGGCACGCTAACGACGTACTCCGGAAGCGAGTTCCAACATTCAATAACTCGGCGCAACAAGCAAGTTTCCGTCTTTACCCGGTCGAAAGCGGTTTGTGCAGATTCAACGAGTGACCTCGGAGACTAGGCAGCTTAGCTGGACTAAATAGCCAGGACAAGTTTGAACCGATCTTGCCCGGTAAGATACCGAAAGTGAGAATCACGTCTCCTTTAATTCTGCGGTAGTGCATTGAGTACATACCCGAGCTAAGCAAACGTTCGGGATACGTTTGCCCCCGTAATCCTTGTACTAACATTTTACCCACTAGCAAACACTTCTGCAGTTCATTTTCTCCCTTGCATAACAAGGTGGACAAGCCTGGATAGAGTATTCTAAGTGAGGTCGAACAAAAGCTGAGAACAACTTCGCAAAACTATTTGCTGTTAGGACACCTAAGGATCGGCGAATAAACATCATACGGAACCCTTACAAGCAGCCCTCCTCCAATTGTCCCCAGAGTGAAGCAACGATTTACGGGTAATATCTAGCTCAACCTGCTGAGCGACAACGAGGAGTTCACTTCACCAACTACATGGCGCGTGGGAGGACTAGCGCCTCCAATGTGGTTGACAGAACATTTCGCCCGATTTATAGGCATCAACCATAGGGTTGACCAGGCCCACAGCCTCTCCAAAGCACTCTGAAATGCCTCAGAGCCACTAGGTTAACCCTAATATTCCAGAGCTTAAGGTCATCAGCAAACAATATCGACAGTACTTCAAGCCCCTGTGGGAGGTAAATGAAGTAAATTGAGGAAAGAAACTACCCTGGAACCGAGACCTGCGGAACGCTACTAAGAACAACGTGCCAAAGCAGAAGGCTACGCCCCACGCGTTCACACAGTGTTCTCCTACTAGGAAAGCAAGTATCCAAAGAAAGACGGCTCCAGATATCCCATACGTTCTCAACTTCAATGAAAATATGGGATGGAGGACAGTATCAAATGCTTTCGGGAAGCCAACGGAAAGCTTGTCGATAGCGTGCCCGTTGTCTACAGCATCAGCCCAGCATTCCCGAGCTATACGTAAATTCGTCACATGAAAATCCCTTATCTACTCCGGGCTGTGCCTCACTGAGAAGTTTAAACTTATTCAGGTGGTTTACCACCCAATCTTCGACCAATTTTCAAACAACTAAACTACAACGCTTGTTAAGCTGACTGGTCGGTAGTTCACGGACAGAGCTCTGTCACCGCCCTTAAAAATCGGGGAGATACTTGTCTTCTTCTATTCCGAAGGTAAGGCACAGCTGTCGATTGTTATTGTAAACATGCATGCCACAGGGCCACTAAGCTCAGTGGCTAATTCATGCAGCAGCTTTGCAGGAATTGAGTCAGGTTCAGTTGCTTTGAAAGGACTTAGACCTTGCAATAGCCCGAAAAATTGCTTCTCCGTTGGGCTGTTTTCAGTTAGGCAAGAATCCTCTGGGACTTTTGTGACCAGCTCCAACTGAGGTAGAGAGGCCTCAAGAGAAAGGACACCAGTATACTGTTCGCTAGCTATATAAGGATTATTAAAATCGGTACGTCCATGGGTCCCGTCCGCTCATATTAAAGCCGGTATAGACGAGTTTGTACCACTGGGTCTCTTTACGTAAGCAAAACACTTTGGACTGGTGACGGCTGCGTCAGCCAAATCCTCCTCGTACTGAAGACGAAGAGTTCTAAGGTGTTGCTTACATTGATTTTTAACGGCACAATAGTTTTCGTAAGTGCTGGTTGCTGAAGCCGCTTGGTAAGTTCACTAGCAATTAGAGCGCTTCCTGAGCCGGTATTTACCAGCGTGATTCCTCTAAGGAGGTTGCGCCCGTGTCACCCTTCTCATAAGGAGTAGAATGTGGGTAGCAGAGCTTTGGTGAGGTATGCCTTAAATTTCTCTTAGGCTGTCTCAACGGTGTCAGCCACGGTGATCGCGCAAAGCAAAACTGAAGCTTTGTCTCACATTCAGTTAAAGTTATTCCGCCAAATATTTCGTTCTGCCTTAGCGGTGGCTTTAGGACACTTAATTGTAGCGCCTTCGAATAAATAAATAAATAGTATCTTCTCCAATTTGTCGAGGCACACCAAACCCGGCATGATCAACGTTTACATGCAATTATGTTTCGCAACAAACACGTTGCTATGTATGTAGTCGGCAGTAAGCGGATAGTTGTACAGGCTTTGGAAATTGTAACATTAATCATGAGGAATAAAAGCGTTAATGCATGACGACACGTTGGGTTCTATCTTGCGTAGTGTGAACAGTTTGGGCATAACATGTGTAGTGAAAACGATACATGTAGGCAGGGAGTATCTTACTCTTGAACGTGTCAAGAAAATATTAAATTATGATTCTAGTCGACTTGCCAGTATGTAGTTGTGGGCAGTGACTTTACTCAGTGGCGAGTCACATCTGCCACGTCGCAGTGTTGCTAAGCGGACATTTATGGCTTTTTATGGGGAGAAAGCTTGCCAGGCGAAAACTCACCACGTCCTGGAACACTGTCAGAAATCCGTTTGGACGCTAATGTAAAACTGGCAGAGAAGCTTGCCGACTGATTTCACCCTCGGTTATCCGCAGTCGATTGACTTCCATTTTCCTCTGTTAGCTGAGTAGGTATCTTTGGTCTGGGCGGCCATACTGGCTGAGGCCCATGGAGGATGAGAGCTTCACGAAGAGTCATCTATGTAAGTGTGTAGGTGGCCGAAACGTCAGTTTCTTGCGTCTGGATTTTTCGGGTTTATGTACACTTTTCAGGAGTGTGAAGGACTCGTGTCTAGCGGTCGTGGGAGTGAGTGCATTTGTCTCCATTTGTTGTACAGTCATGTTCTCTGTAGGTTCTTGTGAATTATGTCCTGTCCCGGGCAAAAGCTCTTTCTCGGTCCAATTCCAGATCCCCAAGAAATTCCGGACCTCGGAGAAAAGGGAAGGTGAGAGACAAACAATTCCGCAAGGAACATGCGTGGGAACAAACGTTTAAGTCCTATGGTATAACATTTAGTGGAAACAAATGCTGTACAATGTGCAAAAATGATTGCGCTGAAATTGTCTTTTAAATGTTCTACAAAGCAATGGTCGTATAGGCTGGTTACTACCATCTACGTGCAATACAGAGCGTTGCGCCATTGAGCAAAAACGCAGTATCGGTTTGCTATTATGCAACTATGGCGTGGGAAGACAGAAAGCAGAAGTTAGAGACCAGCAGGTAGCCAACCTACTTCGATAGGAAGCGCAGAATAAGTAAGTGAAGGGATAAATGGCTTGCGATGAAATAGCTTCAAAGGTCAAATATTGGTAATTCAGCGGATAGATAGGATCGAAGCGCTGAGTAGAAAGCTTCTAGGGATCAAGCCAGAAAGACGACACGAGGATATTAAGAGTATAGTGCCATGGCCGACTGAGATGGGAAAAGCCTGTGAGAGAGCTTACCTCCTACGTAAGTAAGCGTCGAAACCTTCGCTGCAAAAACGGACACAGAACACTACGTGAAAAAGGATTGATCGATAGAAGTGAAGTAATAATAATCAGTTAAACGAAAGAGAACGTGCGAAACAAATGTAAACGTAGCGTCGTTCAGAGAAACGAGTTAATCTAGGGTGCTAAGAAAATAGTATTGTGGTATGCTGACCCAAGAAAAGCCAGTGAATCTGTTGGACTCATACATGGGTAAGTGTCGCAAACATACTAACGAGTAAGTGAGAAATGAACACCAATGAATGAGAAGCTAACGGGCGTCTGTTTACTGACTAGATGAGAGGAGCGATGAACTAAAAAGCTAAGAAAGGTTAATTGACGGAAGGGCAGCGAATATCCAGAATGCAAGCTTACATTAAGGTTGCTGGAGATATCAGAACCTGAGGCCTAGCCGCAGCAGCTAGTGTGCTAAGATGATAGTACCAAGCTGGGTAGAGCCAGGAAGTGCTAGCCCGAAACTTGGAGGCTTGCAGGTAAAAATGCCTAAGACAATATAGCGAGTAAGGGATAAATGAGGATCTAGAAATTTGAGGCAAAACAGCGGCTTGTGCTGAGTTCATGGATATGCTTGCACGACAGAAGAAAGCTAAGAGTGGTTTCGTGATAGAATGCCAGCGCAAGCATACAATGAGTTTGTTAAATAGTTAGAGCATAATAGACTAAGACGCATCGACGCGCAGCTAATCAAATCATGCTGGGGTGCTAACGGAATATAACTAAGG